AAAACAGGTTTTTAGAAATGTTTGCAAAAAAAAGTATTCAGACCCTTTGCTATGAGACTCGAAATTGAGCTCAGGTGCATCCTGTTTCCATTGTTCATCCTTGAGATGTTTCTACAACTTGATTGGAGTCCACCTGATCACAGATCTGGGGAAGGGTACCAAAACATTTATGCAGCATTGAAGGTCCCCAAGAACACAGTGGCCTCCATCATTTTTAAATGGAAGAAGTTTGGAACCACCAAGACTCTTCCTAGAGCTGGCCGCCCGGCCAAACTGAGTAATCGGGGGAGAAGGGCCTTGCAGGGAGGTGACCAAGAACCGAATGGTAACTCTGACAGAGCTCCAGAGTTCCTCTGTGGAGATGGGAGAACATTCCAGAAGGACAACCATCTCTGCAGCACTCCATCAATCAGGCCTTTATGGTAGAGTGGCCAAACGGAAGCCACTCCTCAGTAAAAGGCACATGACAGCCTGCTTGGAGTTTGCCAAAAGGCACCTAAAGACTCTCAGACCATGAGAAACAAGAATCTCTGGTCTGATGAAACCAAGACTGAACTCATTAGCCTGAATGCCAAGTGTCATGTCTGGAGGAAACCTGGAACCATCCCTACTGTGAAGCATGGTGGTGGCAGCATCATGCTGTGGGGATGTTTTTCAGCGGCAGGGAATGGGAGACTAGTCAGGATCGAGGAAAAGATGAACAGAGAAAAGTACAGAGAGATCATTGATGAAAACCTGCTCCAGAGCGCTCAGGTTCACCTTCCAAAAGAACAACAACCCTAAGCTCACAGCCAAGAAAATGCAGGAGTTGCTTCGGGACAAGTCTCTGAATGTCCTTGATTGGCCCAGCCGGAGCCCGGACTTGAACCTGATTGAACATCTCTGGAGAGACCTGAAAATAGCTGTGCAGCGACACTCCCCATCCAACCTGACAGAGCTTGAGAGGATCTGCAGAGAAGATTGGGAGAAACTCCCTAAATACAGGTGTGCCAAGCTTGTAGCGTCATACCCAAGAAGACTCAAGGCTGTAATCGCTGCCAAAGGTGCTTCAACAAAGTACTGAGTAAAGGGTCTGAATACTTATGTAAATTTAATATATCCGGTTTTTATATTTAATACATTTGCACAAAAGAAAACTGATGTTGCTTTGTCATTATGGGGTATTGTGTGTAGGTTAATAAGAATAAATACAATACCATTTTAGTATAAGGCTGTAACGTAACAAAATGTGGAAAAAGTCAAGGGGACTGAATATTTTCCGAATGCTCTGTATATACACACAGTACAATGATTTTTTTAAGTGATCGGGATTGCACAATAAAGTCGGGGACTTATTTCCATTCTGGTCCCTATTTTTTACATAAATACAAACAGTACCAGTCATAAGTTTGGACACACCTATTCATTCAAAGGGTTTTCCTTTATTTTAACTATTTTCTACATTGTGGAATAATAGTGAAGACATCTTAACTATGAAAGAACTCATATGGAATCATGTAGTAACCAAAAAAGTGTTCAACAAATAACAAGCTTTGCACACTCCTGGCATTCTCTCAACCAGCTTCACCTGGAATGCTTTTCCAACAGTCTTGAAGGAGTTCCCACATATGCTGAGTACTTGTTGGCTGCTTTTCCTTCACTCTGCGGTCCAACTTATCCCAAACCATCTCAAGTTTTTGATTTGTCATTAGTGGATATTGTGTGTAGATTGATGAACATATTTTTTTATCAATTTTAGAATAAGGCTGTAACGTAACAAAATGTGGAAAATGTCAAGGAGTCTGAATACTTTCCGAATGCACTGTAAATAATTGTATTTGTGGTGTTTGAACCTGTAGTGTTGATTCTGTAATTTTTTAGTTTATTTTATTTTTATTGATCATTTTGAATTTGTTGTATTGTTGTTCTCATGGCACCATTGTAAATGAGACCCTGGTCTCAATGGTTTCCCCTGAATAAATACAAGTGACATTTAATTTTTTTTTAAATAAAATAAAGAAATAGAGAGAGAGAGAGAGAGAGAGGAGAGAGAGAGGAGAGGAGAAGAGAGAGAGAGAGAGAAGAGAGAGAGAGAGAGAGAGAGAGAAGAGAGGAGAGAGAGAGAGAAGAGAGAGAGAGAGAGAGAGAGAGGAGAGGAGGAGAGGAGAGAGAGAGGAGAGAGAGGGGAGAGGAATGAGAGAAGGAGGGAGAGAGGGGAGAGAGAAGAGAGGAGAGAGGAGGAGATCGGGAGAGAGAGGAGAGAGAGAGAGAGAGAGAGAGAGAGAGAGAGAGAGAGAGAAATGTAAATAGGGGGAATATGTCTGTCTCCTCTTACAATGTGAGTTCTGCAAGGCTGTTCCTGTGTGCTCCCTCTGTGTGATACCAACATACTGTACATGCTGGTGTTTTCTCTGATTCATGTTTTTCACTGATTTCTTATCAGTATGCATTTAAGGCCACTGTGCTGTTCGTTTGTAGTCTGTATCCACGCTCTAGTCATTGTCATTGTGAGAATGGTCTATTACAGCTGAATAGTAAGCAGTTTCAATATATTATCAGTTCTAAAATGTAAGACTGATGTACATGAGAATAGAGAATGCTTTAGACCTGAATGTATCCCTCAAACCATGAATAAGGATCACAGAGCATTGCCTTTGTTTTGGTGTAGTCCATCTCTTCCTCTTCCCTGTGTGTCGCAGATAAAAATGTCCCAGGTGAAACAGGTGGGCCTGCTGGCTGCCGGGTGCCAGCCCTGGAACAAAGATGTGTGTGCTGCCAGTGGAGACCGGTTTGCTTACTGTGCAACACTCGCTATATATGTCTACAAGGTAATTAGCTTGACAAACATTGGTGTGTGTGTGTGTGCATGTGTGCGTGCGTGCATCTGTCTTTGTGTGTGTTCTCTCACTTCTTTGTCTAAAGGACATTCAAAAGAGATATCTAATCTTCAAGTGATTTCTATCATTGACGTTTTCATTATCTATCATTATCTGTACTATTCTATCTGTTTACAAATGCAACACCAATGCCAATATATTCCTCATCGTTCCCATCTGTACCCATGTAGTTGGACCACAGATACAATGAGTTCAAGCTTCGAGCCATCATGTCAGAGCACAAGAAGACCATCACGGCCATATCGTGGTGCCCACACAACCCCGAGGTGTTCGCCAGTGCCAGCGCTGACAACCTGCTCATCATCTGGAATGTGGCAGAGCAGAAGATTGTGGCCAGGCTGGATAACACCAAAGGTACTGATAATGAACTATGTCCAATGGAGGCAGATGTACAGGGGGAATGGGTGGGCCAGAGGGTAATGTTCAGTAGGGAGAAAACGTTTTGAAACACAGTGAAACAAGGTGGAGCAGAAAGCTGTGGCCAGACTAGATGATATCAAATGTACTGAACATAATGCAAAAGATACTGGTTCTAATCAATCATCAGAATGGAAATGAGGAATGACTGTAGACCAGTGGTAAGGGAGTTTACCTAGGAGTAGGCTCCTCTTTAGACACAACTGATGGGAGATGTGTCAGTGAGGTTAGAGAGAGTAGGCTGTGTGAGAGGTTAGAGAGAGTAGGTTGGGTTGCCTTGGGAGGGTGACTCAGTGTAGTGAAGTGTTTGTGTGCTTACTAATGTCATTAGTACTGGCTATTGTTGCTGCTACACTGACTCCTATCAGGAAGGAGATGGCTGATGGCTGGGTGGGTTGGTGTTATTTGTTTTCCTAGGAGAGAGAGAGAGTGTGTGTGGGTGGGTGTGTGTGTTTGTTTGTGTGTGTTTTCTTTTTGTGTGTGTGTTTTCTGTGTGTGTTTTCTCTTTCTGTCTGTCTGTGTGTGTGTGTGTTTGTGTGTGTGTGTGTGTGTGTGTGTGTGTGTGTGTGTGTGTGTGTGTGTGTGTGTGTGTGTGTGTGTGTGTGTGTGTGTGTGTGTGTGTGTGCGAGTGTATCTAATGTGTCTCTAACCCTTGTGTACCATCACCCAGGCATCCCAGCGTCTCTGAGCTGGTGCTGGAACGCGGGTGACGGTGTGGCGTTTGTGTCCCACCGGGGCCCTCTCTACCTGTGGGCCATCAGTGGGCTGGACGCCGGCGTTACCGTCCACAAGGAGGCACACAGCTTCCTGTCCGACATCTGTCTGTTCCGCTGGCACCCCGTCAAGAAGGGCAAGGTGGCGTTCGGACACACGGACGGGAGCCTCTCCATCTTCCAGCCAGGTAAGACTGAGGCTGCATCTCAATAGTCTAAAGATTGTCTAGACTGAGGCTGCATCTCAAGTCTAAAGATAGTCTAGACTGAGGCTGCATCTCAATAGTCTAAAGATAGTCTAGACTGAGGCTGCATCTCAAGTCTAAAGATTGTCTAGACTGAGGCTGCATCTCAATAGTCTAAAGATAGTCTAGACTGAGGCTGCATCTCAATAGTCTAAAGATAGTCTAGACTGAGGCTGCATCTCAATAGTCTAAAGATAGTCTAGACTGAGGCTGCATCTCAATAGTCTAAAGATAGTCTAGACTGAGGCTGCAGCTCAATAGTCTAAAGATAGTCTAGACTGAGGCTGCATCCCAATAGTCTAAAGTTAGTCTAGGCTGAGGCTGCATCTCAATTGTCTAAAGTGGCTTCCTCTCTTTGTCTTATCTCCTTCATCTGCACTGATGTGAAAGAACTGGGCAGGCATTTCCCTGTTATTACAATTTTACATTTGAGTCATTTAGCTAGCAGACACTCTTATCCAGAGGAAGATAATCCTGCTGCAACAGGAAATGTGAATTATTATGTTGATTATAATTCATGGATATTTTTTGATGGGGTTGATACGTTTTTAGTTAGGGCAAATCAAGACTGACATTTTAAAGTAGAAATTACAAACTTTAGAATCCTTTTTAAACCTCGAATACACTACAAGTTTGCATTTCCTGCTGTGCAGGAAAATTCTCAGCAACAAAAGAGTGATCAAATTAAGATCCTACATCTGTAGACCCTTCTTCAAAATAGCCGCTATCAGCAGAATCAGTGCCAGGAAGACCTTTAAATATGTAGTTATTGACAGTTTCTTCCACACGAGCCCTTTATTAGGTACCTCCAGATATTTGATTAGGGGCTGTGTTGACTTTATTTAGTCAGTTGATGCAGTAGGTCTCCTCTCCTGTCCTAGGATCTAAAAACCAGAAGCACGTGTTGCGCCCGGAGTCTTTAGAGGGGACAGACGAGGAGGACCCGGTCACAGCATTGGAGTGGGACCCCCTGTCTACAGACTACCTCCTAGTGGCCAACTTGCATAATGGCATCAGAATGGTAGACTCAGAAGGGCTGACCTGTGTCACTACCTTCAGCTTCCCCAGTTCAGCTGCCTCAGTACAGTGTCTGGCCTGGGTCCCCAGCGCACCCGGCATGTTCATCACTGGAGGTAAGGACATATTGGGGTAGGGTATAAGTGGTAGGGTACAGTGGGTTAGGGTGCAGTTCAGCTGCCTCAGTACAGTGTCTGGCCTGGGTCCCCAGCGCACCCGGCATGTTCATCACTGGAGGTAAGGAACAGAAGCTGGGTTATGGGATAGGGCTTAAGGGGTTAGGGTACTGGGGGTTAAGGTAAGGTCATAGCCCTGGGTTTGTTTCTTTACATGAGGTAGGGTATGTTTATCAATGTAGGTAGCTAGAGGTCAGCTGTGTAGGGCTCTTGCCTTTAGAACTTGAGTCAATACCACTGTTTCAACTTGTTCCTTCTTTTTCCAGATTCTCAAGTTGGTGTGTTGAGGATATGGAACGTGTCAAGATCTACACCTCTTGACAACTTCAAACTGAAGAAGACCGGCTTCCATGCTTTACATGTGTTAAACTCTCCCCCAGCCAAGAAATGTAAGCATTAGACACATTACTGACACATTAGCTCTGATAATCCACAAATTACGGTAGAATCCACAGTCTACAGTACACTCTTAGAAAAAACGGTGCTGTCTACAGTAGGATCTAAAAGGGTTCTTCAGCTGTCCCAATAGGAGAACCCTTTGAAGAACCCTTTTTGGTTCCAGGTAAAAAACCTTTTGGGTTTCATGTACAACTCTTTCCACATAGAGTTCTATATGGAACCCAAAAGGGTTCTACCTAGAACCAAAAAGGGTTCTACCTGGAACCAAAAAGGGTTACCCTACATGGACAGCCGAAGAACCCTTGTGGCTCACTTTTTTCTAAAAGTGTATAATAACTTCAGAGTTTTGGATATGAATGACTGATCTTGTGCAATAAGATATCTCTTGGAAAAAGAGTAACTTTTCTGTAGCATAGTTCTTTCCCCCATTCTCGCTATCACCTGACCTCTCCATTATTTACTTCCTACTCTTTTCAGCCATGAGCTCCGTCTCCCCGACAAAGAACCACCACACGTCATCCACCAGTGAGGCTGTTCCTCCTCCTACTCTATCCCAGAACCAGGCCTTCTCCCTCCCCCCGGGCCACGCTGTCTGCTGCTTCATGGACGGAGGGGTGGGGCTCTACGACATGGGAGCCAAGAAGTGGGACTTCCTACGAGACCTGGTGAGGGAGGGAGGGAGGGAGGGGAGGAGATGGGGGGGTGAGGAGGAAAGGAGAAGGGAGAGGATGGAGAGAGGGAACAAGGGAGGGAAAAGAATGGGGGGACAAGTGATAGCAAGGGAGGTAGGGGAATTGGGATGATCCTAACAGCATTCTTCTATCTATTGTTTGTGTCTGGAATTCTATTGTACATAACTCCCAATCCAGTTCATATTGAAGAAGACCTGATCATGAAACAATATGTTGTTCTCAGGGTCATGTTGAGACCATATTTGACTGTAAATTCAAGCCAGACGACCCCAACCTGTTGGCGACAGCCTCGTTTGACGGGACCATTAAGGTGTGGGACATCAACACCCTCACGGCGGTGTATACCTCTCCCGGCAACGAGGGTGTGGTCTACTCTCTGTCCTGGGCTCCTGGTAAGACATGGGGAGAGAACACACACAGACCATAATACTTTGGGTGTTTCTCAATATGCATACTATTGTGCTCCACACGCTCGTGCTCCGAGTGCATTCTCCGAGGACGTTCTCTTGAGTGCGTTCTTGTGAGGACGAGAGTGTGGAGAACAAAAGTATGTGGACACCTGCTCATCAAACATCTCATTCCAAAATCATGGGCATTAATATGGAGTTGGTCCCCCCTTTGCTGCTATAACAGCCTCCACTCTTCTGGGAAGGCTTTTCACTAGATGTTGGAACATTGCAACGGGGACTTACTTCCATTCAGCCACAAGAGCATTAGTGAGGTCAGCACTGTTGTTGGGCCATTAAGCCTGGCTTGCAGTCGGCGTTCCAATTCATCCCAAAGGTGTTGGATGGGGTTAAGGTCAGGGTTCTGTGCAGGCCAGTCAAGTTCTTCCACACCGATTTCCACAAACCATTTCTGTATGGACCTCGCTTTGGCTTTCCCCAAACTGTTGCCACAAAATTGGAAGCACAGAATCGTCTAGAATGTCATTGTATGCTGTAGCATTAAGATTTCCCTTCACTGGAATTAAGGGGCCTAGCCCGAACCATGAAAAACAGCCCCAGACCTTTACAGTTGGCACTATGCATTGGGGCAGGTAGCGTTCTCCTGGCATCCGCCAAACCCAGATTTGTCCTTAGGACTGCCAGATAGTGAAGCGTGATTCATCACTCCAGAGAACGCATTTCCACTGCTCCAGAATCCAATGGCGGCAAGCTTTACACCACTCCAGCTGATGCTTGGCATTGTGCATGGTGATCTTAGGCTTGTGTGCGGCTGCTCGGCCATGGAACCCCATTTCATGAAGCTCCTGACGAACAGTTCTTGTGCTGACGTTGCTTCCAGAGTCAGCTTGGAACTCGGTAATGAGTGTTGCAACCGAGGACAGACAATGGCGTTCCCGTTCTGTGTGCTTGTGTGGCCTACCACTTTGCGGCTGAGCCGTTGTTGCTCCTACACGTTTTCACTTCACAATAACAGCACATACAAATGACCGGGGCAGCTCTAGCAGGGCAGACACTTGACGAACTGACTTGTTGGAAAGGTGGCATCCTATGACAGTGCCACGTTGAAAGTCACTGAGCTCTTCAGTAAGGCCATTCTACTGCCAATGTTTGTCTATGGAGATTGCATGGCTGTGTGCTCGATTTGATATATCTGTCAGCAACGGGTGTGGCTGAAATAGCCGAATGCACTAATTTGAAGGGGTGTGCACATACTTTTGTGTATATAGTATATGAGATGTGAATGGGCAACATTTCATTAATTTTCTCTCGCTTCAGCTCAAATAATGGCTATTGATTTCAATACATTTTGCGTGTTTATTTACGTGGTTGCGTCATATTTCTGTGCACACTTTCCGTTGAAGCTTGCATCTACGCATGCTTCAAAATATTTACAAACGGAGTAGGCAGCCGACAAGTGCACTCCATGCACCGTTTCGCATACTTTGATTTGGACTCATACTCTGACCCTCCCATGCTCTAATTTGAAACACCCTTTATATACCATCATTCGTCATGTTGACTTTTATTGTGAAAACTGCTCTGCTGGTGATAAATAAATTTTTTATGAATGCCTTAAGTATATCCTTTCAAGTAAAGTGTTAATGTGAGTTATTTTCCATTAATAATGAGTTACTGAATATACATTAAGAAGCAAATGTTATGGATTTTTTGAATGATTCAAACCAGGTTGATATGAAATATGTTGCGCTTTCTTGAGTTAGTCGTAAATATGTCTCTTGTTATCTTTGTGTGTGTTCTTCGAAAGGAGACCTGAACTGCATAGCCGGAGCCACGTCCCGGAACGGTGCATTCATCTGGGATGTGAAGAAAGGCAAGATGATCACACGATTCAATGAAGTACGTCAACAACACTGACGAAGAACATGACAGTCATAAGGGCATTTCACACTACTGAGCCGAACCGAGCTAAACCTGTGCTAAAGCTGCACTGAGATATCCTGGTTACGCATCCACTAGCCAGCACAGTTTGGTTTGGGTCGGCACGATATGGTGAAAAGGTTCATAGAGTAATCTATCAATAATCTCTTGAGTTTATCAATCTTTTTTTTATGTCATAGCCTTTTTGTTCCCTTGTGTACTTAACAGCATGGGAAGAGTGGGATCTTCTGTATCGCATGGAGCCATAAGGACTCTAAAAGAATAGCTACGTGTAGCGGGGATGGCTTTTGCATTATAAGGACTATCGATGGCAGGGTCTTACACAAGTACAAGCACCCTGCTGCTGTGTTTGGTTGTGACTGGAGCCAGAATAACAAGTAAGAGTCCAGTTGTATAGTTCGCCTTTCATACTGTATAACAAGTATAGTGGAAGATATAGTTACCTACTGTATATTCTACTAGATCTTATATTCTCTCTCTCTCGCCTTCGAGGGAGAGAGAGGGAGAGAGAAGAGAGAAGGGAGAGGGGAGAGGAGAGAGAGAGAGAGGAGAGAGAGGAGAGAGAGAGAGAAGAGAGAGAGGAGAGAGAGAGAGGAGAGAGAGAGGGAGAGAGAGAGAGAGAGAGAGGGAGGGAGAGAGAGAAGAGAGGAGAGAGAGAGAGAGAGAGAGAGAGGAGAGAGAGAGAGAGAGAGAGAGAGAGAGAGAGAGAGGAGAAGAGAGAGAGAGAGAGAGAGAGCAGAGAGAGGAGAGAGAGAGAGAAGAAGAGAGAGAGAGAGAGGAGAGAGTAGAGAGAGAGTGAGAGCGAGAGAGCGAGAGAATTAATATTAGAGCGATCTCTCTCTCTCTCTTCTCCTCTCTCCTCTCTCTCTCTCTCTCTCTCTCTCTCTCTCTCTCTCTCTCTCTCTCTCTCTCTCTCTCTCCCTTTCTCCATTCCCAGAGACATGATAGCCACGGGTTGTGAGGATAAGAACGTGCGTGTGTACTACCTGGCCACCAGTTCTGACCAGCCACTCAAGGTGTTCACGGGTCACCTGGCCAAGGTCTTCCACGTGCGCTGGTCTCCTCTCCGAGAGGGTATTCTCTGCAGTGGCTCCGATGACGGGTACATGCAGTACATTCATACATTATTCATATAGGTTCTTTCACTGTGTCTCACAGCACATTGCAATAGGGTAATTCATCACATCCACCAATGTGTAACAGTACCTGAATAATGCATGGTAATCACTTTGTACTGATACACAGATACTCATGGTAGTTATTTGATATGCTTCCATTATGAATACAGATGCCATTGGTTTGAGTAGTCACTCTATTATGTATATGGGAGTCCGAATATAACCTCTATCTTTCTCTCTCTCTCTCTCTCTCTCTCTCTCTCTCTCTCTCTCTCTCTCTCTCTCTCTCCCCCCCCCTCCCCCTCTCCAGGACTGTGCGTATCTGGGACTATACCCAGGATGCCTGTATCAATGTGCTGAGTGGTCACACGGCGCCGGTCCGAGGCCTGATGTGGAACACGGAGGTGCCCTACCTGCTGACCAGCGGTAGCTGGGACTACACCATCAAAGTCTGGGACACCAGGGACGGAACCTGCCTAGACACCTGCTACGACCATGGAGCTGATGTTTATGGTACTAGTCCTAAGTAATGAATCAGTATAGGTGACTGGAAAAGTCTATGGTACTAGTCCACAGTGATGAGTCAATGAGTGAGAAGAAACAATGGTCCTCCAATACTAGAGTTTGGCCTACTGTTGGATTCTTGGAGGATATCAGAATGTGTATGACATCTAACAACATGCTCCTGATCAAATTGAAGTTTCAAACTGGAACACCATACTGCAGGGATAATGAAATAGATTCAGCCAGAGCCGATTATTTATTGAGTGGATGCCGGAACATAATTACAAACAATTTGAAGACTGCAAATTGACCGCAAGAAGCCCAAATAGATATAATATTTGACTAAAACATTATCATCTCAAACCTTGCCTGCATTTGTATACGATCACATATATCTCTCTATTATGTGTGGGAATCAAAATTAAAATCACTTGAAGCTGATTTGCTGGTGTTTTCACAGCCTTTTATGTACAACAAGAAAAAATACAAAATATAGGGGGGTATTTGTTCAGAAAACTTGAGGGGCCAAATAAAGTTGGGGAAACCTGCCATGCTTTATAGAGGCCACTGAATGTGAAAAGAAATATACAGTTACACTGTTTCTGTAATGCTGTAACCTGATCTGATTCCCCCAGGCCTGACCTGCCACCCCAGCCGTCCCTTCACCATGGCCTCGTGTTCCCGGGACTCTACAGTCAGGCTGTGGTCCCTCACTCCGCTCATCGCTCCGCTCCTGGTCAACATCCTGGCTGACCACAGCTGGGACGACATCATCGGCAACACGGGTCAGTCAAATGTTCCGATACTGAAGAAATGTTTTGTGTAGAACATGTACAGTGGTGTAGTGGAGTGTAACGCACTTAAACACCCTTATTTTGTGCAAGCGTTTACCCACCTTTTGCTAAAAGAATGCATTGAAAATATAGGGAGCGTAACTTTACTCTCCGCGAACTGCAATTAGCGTTCGCCCGTCAATTTTTTTTACCACTACATCACTGGCCATGTAGAATAAGGAATCGTGTTAGTTCTATGTGCTACATTTCTGTATACACTCCAGGATTAGGGATTCATCAGTGAACACTCTTTATCACTCTCCCATCAGTCAATAGCCCTATGACAGAGAGATATTGCTACAGTGTTGATTACTCATAACATCAATATGGAACAGTTTAAATTGCTATCATTAGCTCATGATGTGGTCTGCACGATGGTATGACTCCTCTTCCTCTGTCTATGCTGTGAGAGAGTGATAAGACGACAGAGCGTCACAAGAACAATTATTCTGAATGACATCATTCTGAATCTGTGCGTGTCTGTATTGTAGAGTACTATATCCCCTCCTCTCCTCCAGATAGGGCCATGGTACCTGGTGCTACCCCACTGCTCTGTGGGAAGGTGTCCAGAGACATCAAGCATGAGCTGGACAAACTCTCCAGTGAAGTACGGATGAAGAAACTCAGGTGGTTCTCCGAATGTTTCTCTGTGAGTATATTTACTTGCAATTTTCCTTAAATGAATTGTACTCTATTTACAGTCATTTAGTTATTCCATTCCCATAGTCCATAGTTTAATCTGATGGTTTGATGGAAGTATAGTCGTTTTTTCCTTGGTATAGTTTTACATCATCAGGTATCCTTCAAGTTAGTACTCCTATTTGGTAGTCAAATTGATAATATTAGCACATATTACTGGAATCACTATGCATTATGTACATGCTACCCACACTTATGAAGTGCTTATGAAGTGCTTATGAAGTGCTTATGAATACTTTTTCTCTGTTCTTGCCTCCAGCCACCAGGGGGCAGTCATAACCTGTGGGACCTGGTGTCAGTGATCAACGGGCAGGACGACAGTCTGCTTCCTCAGAGCTACAGCAAGGGCATCATGCACATGAAACACTTGGTCCGCTTCAAAACCGTAAGTCGACCACTGACTGACTGACTGTCTCAGATCTGCAAACATTCAAGGGTTAGTGCCAAAGGAAAGGGGTATGGAGTGATTTTGGACCAGGCGTATGAATCATATTCCCAAGGGGTTCGTTTTCAAAAGAACATCAAACTTTTAAAGACTATTCACTTACAGTACATATTTCAATGTGTCTGTTCTGTAGTCTGAGGCCCAAGAGTTGACCATAGTGAAGATGTCTAAGTTCGGCGGGGGGATTGGGGCTCCCAGTAAAGAGGAGCGACTGAGAGACGCAGCAGAGATCCATCTCAGACTGGGGCAGATCCAGAGATACTGTGAACTCATGGTGGAACTGGGAGAGGTAATGGACTGATTCATTATAGGCCCTAGGCTACACTCTTAGAAAAAAAGGGTTCCAAAAGGGTTCTGCGGCTGTCCCCATAGGTAGAACCCTTTTTGGTTCCAGGTAGAACCCATTTTGGTTAGAACTATTTTTGGTACTAGATTGCACCTTTTTCTAAGAGTGTATAACAACTATGAGTGTATCAGGAACAATATATGGACTCATAAGGCATTGCAGTATGTCAATGAAAGTGTTACCATTAACAATCACAGCATTAATTGCTGTACATAATGATGATGTTTGTCTTGTTTTCTGTATTTGCCAGTGGGACAAGGCATTGTCAGTTGCCCCTGGTGTATCCATAAAGTATTGGAAGAAACTAATGCAAAGGTATGTTTTGAGGTAGTTTATCAACCTTATTCAAGAGTCATGTTATGGTTACAGTTCCATTTTTGTCATTTAGCAGGACGCTCTTATCATTAACCAATGCATGTGTCCTCGTAGGAGAGCTGACCAGCTGATGCAGGAAGAAAACCATGATGTCATCCCGTACTGCATTGCCACGGGAGACGTGAGGAAGCTGGTCAACTTCTTTACTGCCAGGGGTCAACTGAACGAGGCGCTGCTAGTGGCTCAGGTATGACGACATTGACAGCCTATGATTAATTAATTCATTAGAAAACAAAGTAACATAATATAAAAATTGTATTGGTTACAATTGGAACCCCTGTTCTCTGAAGGAGAGAACAAGATACTACCATGCTAATTGACCTATTTGGATTGATAAAGGTTCATTCACCCAAATTGCTGTCATATGTCATAACTTGGTTGTTGTTCTTGTATAGGGAGCTTGTGAAGGCAACATCCACGTGCCTCAGACCGCCGTAATCAACCACACAGCCACTACAGACAGTGACGACATAGAGGCATATAACGGGTGTGTCCTTTTCACATGAAAATACACCATTTGCCTAATTTTGGTGTGTTCCACAACAAACGTAATCACTATCCTGTCCATGGTGCATTGCATCCATACCGGGCAACTGAATATCCCCTCATGACCCCAGGCTTGTGTGGCTCAAGTGTAATCTCTCTTGTTCCAGGCTGCTGCAGTGTGTATGTAAGGAGCTAGCGGAGTGGTATTTCCAAGATGGCCGTGCTGTGCTGGCGGCGTGCTGTCACCTGGCTGTTGACAACACTGAGGTAAACACACAGACTCTGTATGTTCTCTTGTAATACACACATAATATTCACTGTTCCGTATGCTAATTGTTCACCTCAAACCTAAAGCTGGTCATGAGCTACCCTCCCGCAAAAGCCTACCTACAGAGCACTAATGCCTATGAATGTGAACATAAATGTAGATATTTAGTAGATGCATAACTTATCATGTTGTTGTGTGTTCCCCACAGCTAGCCATGGCCAGTCTAATCCGGGGTAATGAGCTGGAGCTGGCTGTGTGTGTAGGGCTGGTGTTGGGAGAATCAGCCAATCAGGCCACTCACTACGTCCTGGAGCTACTAGCCAGGAAGTACATGACCGCACCCACCTGGTAAGAGCCAATTACAACTCTCCATGAGAGGGCTACTGTACATAACAGGCTAGATTATATATATATATTCTCCATATGATTGAGAATCAAATCAAATCAAATCAAATCAAATTTTATTGGTCACATGCGCCGAATACAACAGGTGCAGACATTACAGTGAAATGCTTACTTACAGCCCTTAACCAACAGTGCATTTATTTTAAACAAAAAAAGTAAGAATAAAACAACAACAAAAAAGTGTTGAGAAAAAAAAAAGAGCAGAAGTAAAAAATAAAGTGACAGTAGGGAGGCTATATATACAATAGAATAAAGTGACAGTAGGGAGGCTATATATACAGGGGGGTACCGTTGCATAGTCAATGTGCGGGGGCACCGGCTAGTTGAGGTAATATGTACATGTGGGTAGAGTTAAAGTGACTATGCATAAATACTTAACAGAGTAGCAGCAGCGTAAAAAGGATGGGGTGGGGGGGCAGTGCAAATAGTCCGGGTAGCCATGATTAGCTGTTCAGGAGTCTTATGGCTTGGGGGTAGAAGCTGTTGAGAAGTCTTTTGGACCTAGACTTGGCACTCCGGTACCGCTTGCCGTGCGGTAGCAGAGAGAACAGTCTATGACTAGGGTGACTGGAGTCTTTGACAATTTTGAGGGCCTTCCTCTGACACCGCCTGGTATAGAGGTCCTGGATGGCAGGGAGCTTTGCCCCAGTGATGTACTGGGCCGTACGCACTACCCTCTGTAGTGCCTTGCGGTCAGAGGCCAAGCAGTTGCCATACCAGGCGGTGATGCAACCAGTCAGGATGCTCTCGATGGTGCAGCTGTAGAATTTTTTGAGGATCTGAGGACCCATGCCAAATCTTTTTAGTCTCCTGAGGGGGAATAGGCTTTGTCGTGCCCTCTTCACGACTGTCTTGGTGTGTTTGGACCATGATAGTTCGTTGGTGATGTGGACACCAAGGAACTTGAAGCTCTCAACCTGTTCCACTACAGCCCCGTCGATGAGAATGGGGGCGTGCTCAGTCCTCTTTTTTTTCCTGTAGTCCACAATCATCTCCTTTGTCTTGGTCACGTTGAGGGAGAGGTTGTTGTCCTGGCACCACACGGCCAGATCTCTGACCTCCTCCCTATAGGCTGTCTCATCGTTGTCGGTGATCAGGCCTACCACTGTTGTGTCGTCGGCAAACTTAATGATGGTGTTGGAGTCGTGCCTGGCCATGCAGTCATGGGTGAACAGAGAGTACAGGAGGGGACTGAGCACGCACCCCTGAGGGGCCCCCGTGTTGAGGATCAGTGTGGCAGATGTGTTGTTACCTACCCTTACCACCTGGGGGCGGCCCGTCAGGAAGTCCAGGATCCAGTTGCAGAGGGAGGTGTTTAGTCCCAGGATCCTTAGCGAGAGAGAATGTACAGATCGCATTTGTTTATCATCTCCATCCTCTCATTTCTTGTAGCTTTCCATCAGTTGGAAGCAGGTATTATACATTTTTCATGTATCATAACCATAAGTTTAATGCGATAAAGGATTTGACTTTATTCTGGTTTGATTTGCATCTTTTGTTCCATCCGTTTGTATCTGGTCTTGTACAGTACATTACCTCATTCATAAAGACTGCTTAGGTTTTCAGAGGGATGTGTGGATGTGTCCTCTGCAATCCAACAACTAGACTAATGTCACCACCCTTCTCCTTCCCAGGGACCTGGCAGCTGATCTTCTCCAGATGATCCCAGACAACGAGGTCCTGCTGGCCAAGCTGTGTGCCTTCTACCCTGGGAGCTCCTCAGAGATAAACCAAATCCATAAAAAAGTTGGTGCAGAAATTCAACGAAAATTCTCTGTTGAGCATTCTTTTAAGTCATGCTTTTTAGTCCAAACTGGGTCCGGGAAACCAGTCCTAATTGTTTAAACAGAAGAACATACAAATAGACCTATCTACAATATGACATGAAAATGTCAACAACAACATTTAATGAAAAAATTTATGTTAATAATGGGGGGTGTTGTTTCAGTGTGGTCTTCCCAGTCTGGAGGAATGTCAGGCATTGGCTGAGTCTGCTGTCAGCGAGGGAGACATATTCAATGCTGTCAAGTACTATCTACTGAGTCCAGAACCCGAGGCAGCCCTGCTTGTTGGCATCACCCACGTCAAAGAACAACTGAGTGATTCTGACTGGACCGTAGACTCTGTCCATCCTATCCTGGACCTTCTGGGTTACATTAGAACGGACCGGCTCATACTTGCCAAGTTCACTGAGTAAGTGAATGGAAAACACAATGTGTGAGACAACGTCACCTGGGTCTAGGCAGGTAGCCTAGCGGTTAAGAGCTTTGGGCCAGTAACTGAAAGGTTGATGGTTCGAATCCCTGAGCCGACTAGGTGAAAAATCTGTCAATGTGCCCTTAAGCAAGGCACTTAACCCTAATTGCTCCTGTAAGTCACTCTGGATAAGAGCGTCTGCTAAATGTGAGAGGAAGGTTAAGAATACTGCTATAGATTGGCCATCAGCCCTCTCACCTTGGATGTTCTTATTGTGTTATAGAGCTCGAAGTGAGCTGCTCATCCTATCTGGTTACATCGGTGCACTGTTGGCCATCAGAAGACAATACTCCAGCATCGTTCCTGCACTTTATGAGTATACCAGGTAAGATGCAAAAGCCACCGTATGGAACACTTTCTAAATGTCTATGTTGAACCTACATCACCTAATTCTTCAATGTTGAATTTAAAGCCCTATCTCTGACCTCTCACCTTCCTCCCCAGTCAGTTGATGAAGAGGAGAGAGGTGTCTGTTCCCCTACAGATAGAGCAACTCTCTGTAGAGCTGGAGGCATGGATGGCCTGCACACCTTCTCTCATCAAGTGAGTAGAAGAATTGTCTTGTCAATCCATGACACTGATACACTCTACTCTGGCCTGGCCCGGATGTTAGTCATCACATATTGGACTAGCAAACTCAAGACAGTTTGAGGTTCAAAGTCTGACATTAAAACACACCGGTGTCTACATGTCTGAATCGTTTGATTCTGTCTCCATGCCTTCCAGCTCCAGGGGTCCTGATGATGCTCCCTACACCCCTCCGTCAGAGGCGCAGAAGGCAGAGCACGCCCGCCTGCTAGACAGGCTCCAGAAGGAGCCACTCAGGGGCCTGGAGGGGCCCGACTATGTCACAGGCTCCAACCTGCCCAGCCATTCTGACGTCCAGGTCTCCTGCTTTACCGGACTCAGGATTCAGGTCAGCCTCAAGCAATCAACCAATTAATAAATCAAAGTGTATTCAGAAAGATACATTCAGAAATATATTGGTCACAAAGGGACAGTTTCGAGGACACAGAATTGGGTCCAGGACTAGGTTTAATCTGGGTCAGGGAAACAAAGGGCTCAGCAGCAACTCAGACCCAAACCACCATGCTTTCTAACCCCTTACAAAGAGGGCCATGCTATATATAGCCCATGAGTGGTTACTATTTGTAGTCCCCTAGTGGTGGGTAATCACTAAATGGGTGGTAATCAGTAAACTGCTGCTCAAGCTGTCTCCACTGCGATGATTTGAAGTGCCTTTCTGCTTGAAGTGTGTCTCAGTCACTTCCTCAGCTGATTCAAGGGGAGAAAGATGACGTTACTTCAACCTTTAAACTGTTGTGCTTTTATTTTCTTCACTCAGGGCCCTGTGTTTTTCCTTGAGGACGGTAAATCGGCCATATCATTGAACGATGCCCTTATGTGGGCCAAAGTGAACCTTTTCTCACCTCTGGGGACGGGTGTCCGTCTCGACCCCTTCTAAGACACAGCCTAGCCAATGAGGACGGGCTACAGGACTAATGGCATTTGATTGGTCAGCCTCCGAGGCCAAGGTCACATGATGGTAAAAGGTCAACGTCAGGACCGACACCTGCTCTCCCTGAGAGATAGAAGGAAGAAGGGATGGACGTTCCAGAACGGAAGAAGAGAGATGGATGGAAGAAAGCGACAAACAAATATGCTTAAAATTAGTTCTCTCCTCCACTATGTGCTTTTTCTATGTGGTTTACAATGTGTGCAGCACAAGTCATCCAGTCAACAGTATTACAGCTTCTTATAGAAAACGTGTTGCCGTACTTAGACACTGACAAAGAGTGTTTGCATGGTTGAAACGGGTTATAGTGTTGCTATGTGGGAGCGAGACCATTGCAGTACTTCTCTGTCTTGTTTTAGACACGCCATCACATGCACGTCAGTCCACAGACAGACAAGTCGACGAGCTATATGATTCTTATTATACTCATGATCATAGCACCAGCATCATTTGATTGATGAATACCATATTTGTGTTGTATTGCTGTTGGTTTAACGTTGCGCAATGTTGCATCATCATTTCTGTTTGTAACAGAAATCCGCCAGCACACACACAGGTACAAGAGCAAAGCATATGATGATCTAGGCCTACAGTGGTAGTTGATCGAAAGCAAACATAGTTGTTAGCCTTTTATTTAGCTTAGCATCAATCAACCAAATAATTGATGTAGGACTTGATTGCTTTCTCATTAAAACAGCTTAGCAGCATCGTGTCTGTACAGTACCGTGTTTGACTGTGAATGTATAAGACTTCTGCTCGACCAAAAATAAGGATGTGGACATGTAAAATTGTCAATTATCCTGTGAATAGGTTATTGTATTGCACATAAGACTGTAATTCCTGTTGAGTTGCGCAGAACTGTATCAGGGATCACAGTTGCTAGCTAGAAGGGGAGGTAGTTGGTACTGTACAAGGCTAGAATAATAGCTGTTATGATACTGGATCCATAGAATTATAATTTATATTCTATGGTTGGGTCGATGCTTTAGAATGTCTCTGAGTCTCGTCGGCATTACACCGTCATAATCATTCGTAGCCATCACCTGACTGCAGAATTTGTAGTGATTTCGTATTGATGATAAGCTTCTGCATGGAATTCATTATTACAATCAATATTTGGCAGACAGGGTGACAACCTGCTAAGACTAGCTAACTTATATGTTAAATAATATGCCATTAAACAGAAAGCTATGATAAAAAGAAGGCAATATTTGAGAATCCTTTTGCTTTTGAAACACAGACTTGAATAAATAGGCTAATTAAGAAATTAAATACCTGAAGGTTGTGCCTTAAGAAAGTAGAAAACGATTTGTTACATCTTTATCACTGCAACATACAGTATATTGGAAAGTAGGTACATTCATGTAAATAGAATAGGTTTTCTTCCTCCTGCTTAATGAAACAAACATTTATTCAGATCATTTGTAATTGTGTTGTAATTTTTTAAATAATGTATTGATATTACTTTTCCACCTACACTACTGTTCAAAAGTTTGGGGTCACTTAGAAATGTCCTTATTTTCCATGAAAACATACATGAAATGAGTTTGAATAGGAAATATAGCAAAATGAATAGGAAATGTAGTAATTGACAAGGTTAGAAATAATGATTTTTTATTTAAATAATTATTGTGTCAAAGAATCCTCCATTTGCAGCAATTACAGCCTTGCAGACCTTTGGCATTCTAGTTGTCAATTTGTTGAGGTAATCTGAGGAGATTTCACCCCATGCTTCCTGAAGCACGTCCCACAAGTTGGATTGGCTTGATAGGCACTTCTTACGTACCATACGGTCAAGCTGCTCCCACAACAGCTCAAAAGGGTTGCTGATAATGGGCCTCTGTACGCTTATGTAGATATTCCATTAAAGATCAGCCGTTTCCAGCTACAATAGCCATTTACAACATTAACAATGTCTACACTGTATTTCTGATCAATTTGATGTTATTTTAATGGACACATTTTTTTGCTTTTCTTTCTAAAACAAGGACATTTCTAAGTGACCCCAAACTTTTGAACGGTAGTGTATATGTTCAACTTAAATTATCTTCAAATGCATTTATTGTATCTATGTATTTATTATGTTTTACTTATTGACATATGTACAGTTTGTTTGTACTGCCATTGCAGTTTATAAAATGTGTTAATTAAAATATGACAATCTTACTTTTGTAACATAAAGACGATACCAATGTAAACATGTAAAATTTGTAAGCAGGATATATTTGAGTTTTGATTAATGGAAAAGGTAAAGGATCAATTGAGAAAATTGGTCATGTTACAGAGCACCATTGTAGACAAAATGAAAAAGTCTGTCAAAAAAAAAGACAAAACTAAACCACGGCCAAAAAATTCAAGAAGTATAATCCCCAAGACAATCATGGAATAACATTCTTATTTATTATAGTAAAACAGGTGAGAGGTATGTGAAATGAGTTTTGGCAAAATACTGCACATTTGTGAGTGAGTTATACATATACAGGTCACGTTAATATATTAGTTGGCTAATTTAATATAAATAAATAACAAAATACATCTGATTAGCATAAGAGCTTCATATAGGACAGACACAATCAGATTATCATGGGTGTCATTTTGAATATTTTCACTTTTTCCACATTATCAGGGAATTACAAGGAGTCATTGAGTCTAACGTACACGTCAATGTGTAATGAATGAGCTGCATATATGTTATCAATGATGCAAACAAGATAACATAACACTGCGTACATTAAAGTACATTATGTTATCTTGTTTGCATCATTGATAGCATAAAGGCAGCTCATTCAAACAAGATGACATAACATTCATTATGTGTACATTAAAGTACATTATGTTATGTTATACATTACGTTAAAGATTCAATTACCCCTTTTATTATTTGGGTCAATGAATATTAGGCAGTTAAACGTATGGCATGCACAGGAATATTGGATACAAAACCAAAGTGAACATGAAAGATGAACGATCAACTTGACTTAGATAGTATTGTGCAGAAAAACATGATTTACACCAATACACATCTTCACAGACAACTTTCTGACACGTTGGGATCACAACGATCACTGCAGTGGGGGTGTCATTTTAACAAGGACTTATAACACAATATTATACAGTGTTAATATTTAGTTATTTTGAACATTCAAACTCTTGTTTTGGTCAATGTAACAGAATATACATATTTACATGACCATGTGCATAGGTGCTTCAGAGAATCAGTTAAAACAGATTTCAGTGAATGGGAGGGATTCTGTGCGTTTGAGGTTCTGGGTTAAAAAAAGAGGTTCAGTGACTAATAATAAATTAACTTGATGATAAAGATGGACGAGAGAGAAACAGAGAGAAAGAGAAAGAGAGTGGATGGGATAGAGAATATCCTCTATTATGACAATGCTCTCATTTAGAAACAGAGAGGGAAGGGGGAGAGCAACAGACAGGAGAAAGACAGAGAGAGAAACAGAGAGAGAAGGGGGAGAGCAACAGACAGGAAAAAGACAGAGAGAGAAACAGAGAGGGAAGGGGGAGAGCAACAGACAGGAAAAAGACAGAGAGAGAAACAGAGAGGGAAGGGGGAGAGCAACAGACAGGAGAAAGACAGAGAGAGAAACAGAGAGGGAAGGGGGAGAGCAACAGACAGGAGAAAGACAGAGAGAGAAACAGAGAGAGAAGGGGGAGAGCAACAGACAGGAGAAAGACAGAGAGAGAAATAGAGAGGGAAGGGGGAGAGCAACAGACAGGAGAAAGACAGAGAGAGAAACAGAGAGGGAAGGGGGAGAGCAACAGACAGGAGAAAGACAGAGAGAGAAACAGAGAGAGAAGGGGGAGAGCAACAGACAGAGATGAAAGAGAGAGAAACAGAGAGAGCGTTGATGTGTCCCTATCTGTACTGGAGGAAGCGTTTGAGAAGGTTGGGGAGGTGTAACTGAGGGATGAGGTGTAGTCGAGATCGGCCCATATAATCTCTGATACTGAGACGACACAGCTGACGTAGTGACCGCGGTGTTGCTGCAGAGAGAGAGAGAGAAAGAGATTATCGGATTATTCCAAGACAGCGTCAATATCATCCATTTCTATAATCCAAATATCAATGTTTTACAAGGAATTCTGACTGAATGGGGATATTTCCTGGCCTGGTCCCAGATCAGAATTAGTATCAGAAAACTTCAGTATCGGTTTCTGATCAGACTACGAGTTTGGCATGAAAACGAACATATGAGTTAGCTATACAGTACAAACTGATCTGGAATCAGTCAAATATTCCCATGTAAACTGAGCATAATCTTACCTTCATGCAGCAGTAACGTCTCCTCTGCTGAGCTGTTAGGCGGGGCTGACTCCACCGGTCTCTTCAGCTCTAGGTTTTTAGCGTTAATGTTCGCTCCAAACTCTAACAACACATTGATGATCTCAGTACAGTCCTTCTGAGCTGCTGCATGGAGCGGGCTCTCCAGGAACCTGCCCTTCTGCACATTGGCCCCTGTGGAGCAAACCGGACACCATTGGTTTAGTTCAGTAGTTCACACTCTAGGAAAATGGTTTGCAACAGAAAACATTAATCTATGCTCTGATTGGACAAGTTTTTGTAGTTCCTTCCTGTTTTACTCAGTTTAAAAATATATTCTCCCAACTGAACACACCCTATGTTTGTGAGTACTGCATCAGGTAAATCAATGTCCTATGACATATCTTCCCTTAGTAAATGCAGAATACAGAAGAAGAAAAAACAATACAAACGGATGAATCATAAAAACTAAATACAAAATGCATTGATGTCAATGGGAGAGATCATTTTAAGTTAGGACCAAAGTGTCTGGTTAGTTACTGACCTCCATTGAGGAGTTTCTGTGTGCACTGGAGTCCTGAGGAGATGCAGGCGATGTACAGGGGGGTTCCCAGGTGAGGAATATCATAGTCCACGTCTGCTCCCCATGTGATCAGTACCTCCAGACAAGCAATTTTGCCTACACACAATACGTCCTGTGTTACCAGCATACTCTCATTCAGAAACGCATTCACTGGTCTCATCTTAGAATTGGGGGGGGGGGAACATACTAAAATTACAGCCAGAGTATTTCAAAACCTCACAGTAGTGACAGCACATATCCTGCGATGGAAGTCCTCCTACAGTACCTTTGCTGGAAGCCTCATGTATGGGCGAGGGCTGGCATATCTCTGACTGGGGCTTGGCACCGTTTTCCAGCAGTACCTCTGTACAGGTGGCACTGCCCACTGAGCAGGCATTGAACAGCGGTGTCACCCCATCAATGGTGGTGGCATTTACCTGATCAGATAGATGGGGCATTGTCAGAAAAGCATGTGTATCTATACATGAGCCATTGTAAATGGAAACATTCCAAAGTTACAACAAAGGCAAGTCAATTGGAATGTAAAAAGATGAGTTGCTGCCACAGCATAATGATGTCTTGTTCTGACATGGAGTGTATGTGTTTGTGTGTGTGTGCATGTGTTTGGTCATGACTTACATTGGCACCAGCAGCAATAAGCGCCCTGGCGCATGACGCGTGGTCTGACAGGCAAGCCTCATGCAACGGCGTCACATGGTCTATGGTAGGGATGTTTGCGTTGTAACCCTGGGATGACAACAAGAAATGTTTGCATTCATTATATAGGGCTCACTTTCCCTACACTTTATTTGTGCAGATGCTCTACAGATGATCATACTATCAACACACTATATGTTGATAAGCAACTGCTTGCTAAGGTTACGTTTAGGGTTAGGTTTAGAATACGAGTTACACTCTTTGAAAAAAGGGTTCCAAAAGGGTTCTTCGGCTGTCCCAATAGGAGAAACCTTTTTGGTTCCAGGTAGAACTCTTTTGGGTTCCATGTAGATCCCTCTGTGTAAAAGGAACCAAATGGGTTTTTACCTGGAACCAAAAAGGGTTCTTCAAAGGGTTCTCCTACGGGAACAGCTGAAGAACCCTTTTAGTTTCTAGATAGCACCTTTTTTTCCCTAAGAGTGTAGGGTAAGGGTTCAGGTTAGGTCTAGGGTTAGGGTAAGGGTTACGTTTAGGGTTAGGATAAGGGTTAGGGTTAGACCTAGAGCTAGAGTTAGTAGATAGATAGTTGAAATATTACTGGTAGTCTGTAGATAAGTCTGTAGAGCATCTACAGATAGACTATCCAAATAAAGTGTTACCCTAACTTTTGGAAATCTGATTACGAGGGGAAATGGCAAACATATCATATGTATCTTATCTGGAACATACAGAAACAGCATCAGCATATAATTTTACATAAAGGTATCAAAACATTCCTCTCCTTCTTTACTGTCTTAACACTGTATAAACCATCGACCAGAATGCTTTACGTTGTGGTGCCCCGCCCCTCTGTGTTTGACTCACCTGTGAGAGTAGGGTCCTGAGGGCCAGGAGACGGCCCTGACACGCTGCCTCGTGGAGAGGAGACCGGTCCGCCCATGACCCTGGGAGAGGGACAGACAAAACACCTGAGCATCTCCAAAACAACACACAATACAGTCATATGTTTACAGTAATAGCCCTTCACTATCATACAAGCTCTTACTGGTCACATCCACAAACATACATATATATATACACATACACACACACACACTACCGGTCAAAAGTTTTAGAACACCTACTCATTCAAGGGTTTTTCTTTATTTTTACTATTTTCTACATTGTAGAATAATAGTGAAGACATCAAAACTATGAAATAACACATATGGAATCATGCAGTAACCAAAAAAAAGTGTTAAGAAAATCAAAATATATTTGAGATTTGAGATTCTTCAAATAGCCACCCTTTGCCTTGATGACAGCTTTGCACACTCTTGGCATTTTCTCAACCAGATTCACCTGGAATGCTTTTCAAACAGTCTTGAAGGAGTTCCCACATATGCTGAGCACTTGTTGGCTGCTTTTTCTCCACTCTGTGGTCCAACTCATCCCAAACCATCTCATTTAGGTTGAGTTCGGGGGATTGTGGAGGCCAGGTCATCTGATGCAGCACACCATCACTCTCCTTCTTGGTCAAATAGCCCTTCCACAGCCTGGAGGTGTGTTGGGTCATTGTCCTATTGAAAAACAATTGATAGTCCCACTAAGCCCAAATCAGATGGGATGCGTATCGCTGCAGAATGCTGTGGTAGCCATGCTGGTTAAGTGTGCCTTGAATTCTAAATAAATCACAGACAGTGTCACCAGAAAAGCACGCCCACACCATCACACCTCCTCCTCCATGCTATATAGTGGGAAATACACATGCAGAGATCATCCGTTCACCCACACCGCGTCTCACAAAGACACGGCGGTTGGAACCAAAAATCAAGCAAGTCATTTCTTTTTATTGGTGATTTAGTAGTGGTTTCTTTGCAGCAATTCCACCAGGAAGGCCTGATTCACACAGTCTCCTCTGAACAGTTGATGTTGAGATGTGTCTGTTACTTGAACTCTGTGAAGCATTTATTTGGGCTGCAATCTGAGGTGCAGTTAACTCTAATGAACCTATCCTCTGCAGCAGAGGTAACTCTGGGTCTTCCATTCCTGTGGCGGTCCTCGTGAGAGCCAGTTTCATCATAGCGCTTGATGGTTTTTGCGACTGCACTTGAAGAAACTTTCAAAGTTCTTGACATTTTCCGTATTGACTGACCTTCACGTCTTAAAGTAATGATGGACTGTCGTTTCTTTTTGCTTATTTGAGCTGTTCTTGCCATAATATGGACTTGGTCTTTTACTAAATAAGGCTATCTTCTGTATACCCCCCCAACCTTGTCACAACAAAACTGATTGGCTCAAACACATTAAGAAGGAAATAAATTCCAAAAATTAACTTTTAAGAAGGCACACCTGTTAATTGAAATGCATTCTAGGTGACTACCTCATGAAGCTGGTTGAGAGAATGCCAAGAGTGTGCAAAGCTGTCATCAAGGCAAAGGGTGGCTATTTGAAGAATCTCAAATGTAAAATATATTTTGATTTGTTTAACACTTTTTGGGTTACTACATGATTCCATATGTGTTATTTCATAGTTTTGATATCTTCACTATTATTCTACAATGTAGAAAATAGTAAAAATGAAGAAAAACCATTGAATGAGTAGGTGTTCTAAAACTTTTGACTGGTAGTATATTTCCAGCACATTCCCATTAATGTCTGATACATTGACAGCATTCATCCTTATTATTCAATCATTACCATAATCCTCATTTAGAATTACTTCCTAAAGGCCAGTAGTAGCAGTCCACTATCCATGTTCAGAAAATAGAAACCCTGTTGTCACAGCTGTCACTTATATCACAGAGCATAAAACAGAGCGCCGGATAGGTTTTCACTCTCTCACAGTGTGGATGGAGCTATATATAGCTGTAGCTCAACCAAGCAGGCCATCTGGCAGGCATAGCCTTGTACAACTGGCAGAGCAGAGCTCAGTCTCTCCCTACACACCCAACTACACTACCATCCACGTCAGAGAACAACATATAGGTGTTTTTTTTATTTTATGAATCCTTTATTCAGGTGAAATCCTGTAAATCCTCTTTTATGAGGAAGCCTTGAGTATAATAAAATGTCAGCCATACTTCCACACAACATAACACAGCAATGCAGTGCAATATTCAATACTACATACCCATGTCTCCGTCTCCCCACGGCACATCTAGCCATTGATACGTATATGACATTGCTGCCTGTAGGACAAGAGGGCGCCTGTCACCTACTGTACTGTTACTGTACTGAAGGTTCTTGTTGTCACAGCATGGATTCACACAGGCAGAGCTGTGACTGTGGCGGCCATCTTTGGAAGGGCATTTGTATCACCTGACAAGCTCACGTAGTACACTGACATGGCCTGTTGTTGCTACTATCTTTTCTGATAAATAGGACAACTAATATACTGTATATTATTTTGTTGTTGTTGCAAATTCTGAATTCCTTTTTAATATATAGACCAAAAATGACATTAATTGTTATATATCTTTTTTGGGGGGGTGAAAGGACAATAACAGAGATTCCTCTATCAAGGGATACATAACATAACAACAGGTGCCAATGAGGACAACCACTGGTGCAGAGATAAATAGAGTTTGGAAGCTATTCTTAGGAAGCACATGTTAGAGCTACAGTAAGTAGCTAATTCCAGTCACAGCAGCAACAGCGACCTGGAATCCCCCCTCTCTCTATTTTCTATCCTTTCTCCGGGAAACCAGCCAACCTTTCCCACAGCGGTGATCCTCTATAGCTGGTTGCCTGGTGCGACTGAAGCCTTGTACATTATTCTCATTCGGACAGCACAGGGTGTCTCTATTCTAAGCAGGGTAAAATGGTGGCTCTCATGAATATTGCAATGGTGCCCTGAACATGTGACTTTGCTTTTGCTTAAGGCTCCCCTTTGCCACACTAAGCAAGAACACAAGGAAGCAGAAAGGGCTGTAATATATGATATAATCAGGTTTAATTGTCTGAAGCTGCTGCTTAGTACAGTTAAAAGGTCTAACTGTTATTGTCTTGTGTGAAAGAGTCATGAGAGCACATGGTAGCTTCAGCTGTTGTAGGCCAGTCATTATTAAACTGCAATAGACACATATCCCAAGGCCTACTACTTCTACTACAACTACACACAGGCCTAGTAGTAGTAGTAATACTACTACTACTAATAATAGTAATAATAATAATTAATTAATTAATTAATTATAAATAGGTGTTAAATAAATAAATACAATTGTGTTATGATGTAAGATATACGGATCTGTATTCACATCAATAGGATAAACACTGGACTGCTCTAGGGACCCATTTGACCAGATGTGTCCAAGGCGTTTGTTTGGTTATGTCATGATATTCTTATATCATAGAGCTTCATTTCTATAGCACAGTCCCAAATAGGCTGAATCCTATGATAATGTTCCAGAACAGGTGCCTTTTCCCCGAAACATTTCCATTTCAACCCCTCTGTCTACCTCAAATAAGCTTGACACGAACAGCACATGAGCCCTATAACAACATTGCACAGTGCCAGTCCGAGACGCACTCACCCAGTGCGCAAATACACAATTGTGTGTGCGTAAACCGCTACTGACCTTGGCTAGTTAAAATACCCCAGCAGCGAGGTTTCTTTTTTGCCGTGTAATCGTCTGTGTACTCTAACGTTCTTTTCCTCGGCGTGTTTTCTGGCTGCTGCTCGCTCGAGCTCTCTGCAGATGGAACTTCAGGCATGTTTACATCGGCTATCTGTCCCTGCAGCACTGTGCACCATGATCCAGTCTAAATCCTGCTCTCTGATTGGCTGCACGGCTTGTTGTTTCACAGCCAAGGCCGAGCACAACGATAACAAGAACAGGCAGAGAGGGAGGTAGGGAGAGAGAGAGAAAGAGAGAACTTTTTGCACATTGTTACAACACTGTATATATACATAATATTACATTTGAAATGTCTTTATTATTTTGGAACTTCTGAGTGTAATGTTTACTGTTAATATTTATTGTTTATTTCACTTTTGTTTACTATCTACTTCACTTGCTTTGGCAATGTTAACATACGTTTTCCATGCCAATAAAGCCCTTAAATTGAATTGAATTGAATTGAATTGAATTGAGAGAGTCGCTTTGGATAAACGCGTCTGCTAAATGGCATATTATTATTATTATCAGAGGTTAAGAAATGGCTTAGACCAGAACAGCCTTTATCCCCGCTGGCCTCAGGGTTAGAAACCTTTCTGTTTATAAATGATTAATTCGGCATGGTTTGAAATATTAAAGTTTGACCTTTGAGTTGAATACAGTATTTGCTCTTTTGAGTATGCCTAGTTGCTTGTGTAACAATCCTTTGCTTGCAATATTCAAAAGCCATGTACTGTTTATAACGGTCATTGGTTAAACTAGTTGTACTTGGGGATGGAAAGCTAGAGCCCCTCTAACCTCTCTCTAACACGCTTCTGTTCAGCTCAAAACATTCCTGGCTGACAGCCGCTGTGTAACCTACGTGAAGTACGAGTACAGGCTGCAGCCTGCAACTGCCAAGTCTCAGCTATGAGATAAACTGTCTATGAATTGTGTGGCATTTTAATAAGGGCACAGCTCCTAGGTATGCACAATTATACAAATACGTTTAGCTGCAAACCGATGGTTTGAATATATTAATTTGACATACTCTCAAAAAATGTGCATTTCATGTGTCATCTCATCAGATCTCTTGATGATTACAGTGCATGGAATATGCTAAGGGCAGAAGCAATCAGAGACTTCTGGCATGCCATTCCAACATGCCATCATGATGCCAAAGGTTCTGGGTCCTTTCCCTCATCCCAGGTGTGGTTGTTCCAATGCAGTGCTTTCCCCCAGTACCTCAGCAAGAAAAGAGCATTGAAAGACATCAAGAAGAAAGTGTATCTAATACACAAATGTATCTAAGTGTTTCTAATGTCACCGGCCACAGCGATAGGCTGAGTAGTTCCTGGGCAGACTGGATACAGTTGCCTGGCATGTTATAGACACAGAGCTTTTAGAAAGCTGGAATACCCTAATACACACACTTTACTGTAGAAAGTGTGTGTATGACTCTCTGCTGTAGAATAATAGTCTGTTGCCTTTCACAGAAACAGCTACTTACTGTGCCCTTGTCCAAAATCATAAAACTCTTCTGCAATGCGGGCAGCCTCCTTCCGATTCCCCTTCACCACATAGAAGTGGGTGAGAATATTCAGGCTGATCTTGACAAAGAGCTTGACGCAAAACAGAGCGAATATGGAGAGGTAGACATTGGAGTAGTGTACTGTGCCAAAAGACTGGCCATCCACATTTGGAGTCATTGCTTCCTTGCTTGTCTAGCCTTGCTTATGTCTTGCCTGGCTGTCGGTGGCTGGCTGCTAATGTTTTGGAAATGTAAATGGGGGGCCTGGCTATCTGTGTTGTGTTGACACTGGTACTGGGTCATATGCCAGCCCAGAATGACACAGAAATTCCCCTCAGCAGCTGGGTCGAGACCAGATAGGATAAGTTGGAGAGAGCAGCTGTATTATAGCGCTGCCTGCCTGCCTGTGGGACAACTGGGGCCCGTATTCATACAGTGTCTCAGAGTAGGAGTGCTGATCTAGGCTTAGGCTCCTCCTCTCCATGTAATCTTATTCATTATGATCAAAATGCAACACTGAACATAGATCAGCATTCCGACTCTAAGGCGCTTTGTGAATACAGGCCTAGGGCCACTCAGACTCTGCCAGCAGCCCTAGGGCAGGGAATACAGTCCAGCTATAGCCAGGGGCTTTGTGACTGTGACCTGTGGTTACAAAAAGCTAACCCAGGCCTTAATCTTGTTCCATTTAGTTGTGATGCTTCGGAAAGGTTCAAAAAGATTTGTTGAGTATTTATTCTCTTGAGGTTTAACATTATCTTGACTCATATAATTTTTCTTCAAAATTATGTTATCCAATCAATTGTCCACTGTCATGAAATTCCAAGCTCTTACTGGTAGTGTGAACTGTAGTTCACCTCCATAACACATGGGGGCAATGTTTCACTTTCATTTCCCTTCGATTACGGAAAAAACATCCACTTCCGTATTTCTTTGTCTCAAACTACACTTCCTGCTTTTGCGGCTGGAAGTCGTTCGCATCTTTGTTTATAAAACTGTAATATAACTGCATTTAAAAATGAATACAGTGTTGTCGAGGGCGAATTCCCTCTTCGCCTTTTCGCTCAGTGTGATGGCAGCGTTGACGTTCGGCTGTTTTATCACGACGGCGTTCAAAGACCGGAGGGTGCCGGTGGATATCCACGTCTCGAGAGTAATGCTGTGAGAGATGACGAGTTATTATTATTAAAAATACACTGAACATGCATTGCTTTGGTTTAGGTATCTTTCGCTCCGTGATCTATCACATTTACACATTCGTATAAATAGTTATTGGTCTCAGTTGGCTACATAACTAGTTCGGTGTATGAGTCTTTGCAATGGTGCTAACTAATGCTAGCTCGAGGTGATCACTGAATCCATATGGCAATATTGACGCCAATAAATCGGACACCTGTGAAAATTGAAAACTGCCTGCGCAATGAACAACAGATGTTTTTGTCTTTGGCTACAATGTAGCCAGCCAGACAGGATGCCAGCTGCTGCGGCTTGCAACATTGTATCCAATAGTTGAACAGCACGTCAGCGTGGTATATTTTGTCAAACTGTGAACGAGCTGCCAGCAGATGGAATGTTTCAGACCTTACTTTTGACAATTAGCTATCGTCACACCTTTGCATTAGCTTTGTAATAGTGTATGTGAATGCTACCATCCATATACATTAACATATCACGTTACAATTTGTAGCTACTCATCTATAGTAGCCCACCCCCCCACACACTCTATTAGCATATGAACAGGTCATAAGCCATGGCCAAAAAAAATAGAATTACAGGAAATTAGCTGTAAAACTGCAACATGTTCTCTCAGCCTCATGGCAAAATGTGTAGAATAGCATGAGATTAGCTATAAAACTGCAAAAAAATGATCTCTTCCCCATGGCTGTATGTGTAGAATTGCAGGAAATTGCCTTTAAAACAGCAACATTTTCTCTCAGGCTTATGGCAAAATATGTAAAATGGCATGAGATTAGCTAGAAAACTGCACGTTTCTTTTTGCCCCATGGCAAAATGTGTAGAATTGTAGGAAGTTAGCTGTTTTTTCCCCTTGCTCAGACCTTGCGGGGGGATGCGTGAAACTATGGTATGTCATGCTAGTAGCTATACCAAGCCATACTGTGCAAGGTGTAGCTAGAGACCATAAAGTAAATGTAGCCTACTACTATTTGTGGTGTAGCCAAGACAAATAACATATATTTTGACAGCTTACTGTTCCATGTGGTGAAAGAAATGTCTTGGCCTAATTCTAGGATGCACTGCACACAACTAACTCTGCCTTTACCATTTGACAGGAAAAACGTGGATGACTTCACAGGACCCAGGGAAAGAAGTGACCTGGGGTTCATCACCTTTGACCTCTCTGCTGACATAAAGCCCGTATTTGACTGGAACGTCAAGCAGCTCTTCCTCTACTTGTCTGCAGAGTACGCCACCAAGAGCAACGTAAGTGTCTTACAACAGGGGTGTATACATTACATCTTGCAACAGAAACCATTTACCATTTAAGAACCAAACGGGGAGGCATCTACCTGAATGTATCCAACAAAAACTCTAGTTTTCGTTGCAAAATGTTTTGCAACAGAATCGACATGATGAATGCAACCTAGGCCTGTTCTCTTTCCTGTCCATCTATCAATTATCATTATCATGTGTTCCTCTTGGCTTGCTTGGGTAGTTGCCACAACAACAGATCACACACATCATACAAATGATACTTGATGAAAGCCAATATGATCGGAAGGGAAGACATTCTATAGGTAGATTACCCTACCTATAGAATTGCAGCAAAATAGACATACTTCTATGTCACCAGGAGCGATGTAAGAACTGACCACTTTCCTTTACGATGTATCAATGATCGTTGTCACACGTTCCTCCTCTTGGCTTGGGTAGGCTGGTTGCCACACACTGTTGACACATTGGTGCTTCTACAGATCGCACGCATTTACTTGGTGAAAGCCAAGAAGGCAATATGGGTTGAAGGCAATATGGTTTGAAGGTGACATTTTATAAGTAGTGTATCCTAAGAAGTAGCCTGGGTTAGACTCAGGTAAACTCTTATGGTAAAAAAAAAACAAAAAACTATGACTATAGGAATTGGATACACAGTTGTGAAGAGAGCACAACAATGCCTCTTTCCTCTCAGGAGACTGAAAAGATTTTGCATGGCCCCTCAGTTCTACAGCTACACCATTGAGAGCGTCTTGACTGGCTGCATCACCGCTTGGTATGGCAACTGCTTGGCAACCGACCATAAGGCACTACAGAGGGTAGTCCGTATGGCCCAGTACATCACTGGGGCCAAGCTCTCTGCCATCAAGGACCTCTATACCAGGCAGGTGTCAGAAGAAGGCCCTAAAAATTGTCAAAGACTCCAGCCACCCAAGTTATAGACTGTTCTCTCTGCTACCGCACGGCAAGCGGTACCGGAGCATCAAGTCTGGGACCAAAAGGCTCCTGAACAGCTTCTACCCCCAAGCCATGAGACTGCTGAACGGTTAATCAAACGACTACCCTGACTATTTGCATTGACACCCATTTTTATTTGCACTGACTCTCTTGCACCGGCTCTATGCACACTTACTGGACTCTACCAACACATACTACTGACACTCCAATACACACACTACATCCGCTCACACACAAAACACACACACATATTGACGCCACAGACACACTTTCAATCTTTCACACTATTCACATACGCTGCTGCTACTCTGTTTATTATCCATCCTGATTGGCTAGTCACTTTTACCCCTACCTACATGTACATATTACCTCAATTACCTCAACTACCTCGTATCCCTGCACATTAACTCGGTACCAGTACTCCTTGTATATAGCCTTGTTATTGTTATTTTATTGTGTTACTATTTCTTTTTTTTATATTTAGCAAATTTGTCTTACTCCTTAACTCTGCGTTGTTGGGAAAGGGCTCGTAAGTAAGCATTTCACAGTAAAGTCTAAACCGGTTGTATTCGGCTCGTGACAAATAAAATTAGATTTGATAGAGATCTGGGATCAGGCCACCTAGGAAGGTGAAATGCATGGTAAAATGGCTGCCAAATAGTGATACTTAACTGCGACGTGTTGTGCTTTCTTCCAGGCCCTGAACCAGGTGGTTCTGTGGGATAAGATCGTGCTAAGAGGAGAGAGCACCAAGCTCAACCTCAGAGACATGAAGTCCAAGTACTTCTTCTTCGATGATGGAAACGGTCTTCGGTAAGCATCCTCTGTTCACCCTCTCACTTTTATTCTGGTGCCAGTAACCTAACGATAACAAATCATGTTTTTGTTATAGCAACTGGTGTGGAATTTGTCTTGATGCCATTTTATTTCATGAAATAAAATAGTTTTCGTCACATACAGTTTAGAGCAGGTATAAAAGGCACAGGGATAATCATTTCGCTACACCTTTTAAACCTGCTGTAAACTGTATGTGAGAAATACAATTTAATCTGATTTTACATAGAGAAATTAATATTTTTTTGCATTTAGGCCTACATTATGTTGAATATTTATGTAACACCCTTTGTATGCTGCAGAGGGCAGTATAGGTCTGCTTTTGGCACCTCTCTCACTCCTCTCCAGTCTTTTGAATGGAAATACTGTAGGAATGCTCTGATGTTTAAGGCCTTTGTGTGATGATCTCTCCACCAGGGCGAATAAGAACATCACCCTGACTCTGTCCTGGAACGTGGTGCCCAACGCCGGGATCCTGCCCCTGGTCATGGGCTCTGGCCACATGTCCGTCCCCTTCCCCGAATCATACGAGACCACCAAGAGCTACTGAACTGTTCCACCATTATTTGTAAATGTTTGACTTTTAATAAAAGTGTACATTTGGGAATGGTTCAATTGTATGCATTTGCATTGATGCTGCCACAGATAAAGACTGTCTGAACGTTACTAGCTGTGAAATCCTTGGCTATTGTTTTCCACAATTCCTCTCAAAGCTCATTGGAGGAGGCCACCTGAGGAGAGACCTTGGATCCTCTACTTCAATGCACTTTGAGAGAGGTGAGGAAATGAGGAAGAAGCAAGGATTTGACTGCTAGTAATCCTTGGTTTAAATTGTCATTGCGGAGACGGACTTAGTAACTAGAAAGTCAGGACTCATCATGCTTCATTTAACTCTACAGCAGTACTCAGTACCTGTATAATGAATGGCAATGTGAGATTGTTTAATAATTACGTTTTTGTGTTGTTCTCTAGGTGTTGCTTTCTTTGTTATAAAAAAAATACTTCTGAAAGATAATTCTGAATAATTGGTTATTAGTAGAGAAGCGAAAGAGGATTGGTTAAAAACATGTAATGTTTACATTTTACCTAAAGATGGCACCACATTACCACAAACACAACTAACCTACCACATATCCAAAGCGTTCAGAGTGGTCGTCACATTTAGAATGATTGACGTAGGCCCATAGAATAATTTTCGATGGCTTGGAATTTAGTTCCCAAAAACAATGTCTCTGTTCTATTCATGATGTTTTGAAGTCATGGTATATAAATTTAATGGCTACAACGACATCGATTGAAACTTGCCTTCGAGCCTAGGTGCTCCAAATAACTAAACATAGTTCAATCAGTGTCCCTCTAAAGAATGTCCATGGGTAGTAGACTAGACAGATTTGCAATTTCAACATTTAATTGAAGGCCTTACATTTTAGTGAGTTTGGAGAGTGGAAAAAATCCATTGTATCACATACAATAGGAACAGAAAAGCCCAAGGTTGTTGACACAGCAGCCGCAGTTGAAGGGGAAATGTAATTATAGCTAGCCATATATTTGTATTCAAGAGACTGATTTTAATCTTGGAAAATAAGTTCATGTGCGTTGTTCTTAGACTGTGTGGTATGCAGGGGGTAACAAACAATAGTTGGGGAAATTCAGCTGCAGAGAGCCCGGCTATTTAGACGAAGGGTGTTTAGTGAAGAGTTGTAGAGGTTATTAAACCCAAAGTGATTTACAGTTTAAGACAAGCGGGAAGCTCACCAGGGTAGCAGGGTATCTACTAAACTAAATCGGATCATGCGTTAACTGGCCATAGCCGACACCTGCATTATAGCTGATGTTTAGAAGGTGTTGGAGGTGTCAAATCCGTAAACAGCCGCTCTTGTTCACTGTCAAGAAGCAACACCCGCCCCACTGGCGTTAGAAGTTAAGAACGAGAAAGTGTAGGCTATGTAGAAATAATTATGCTCAAAATGAAAAGGCATTAAACGAAATGAGGATTTCTATCATTCTAATCGTGGTGTAGATTTCATTCCAGTGTTCGAATTTGTAAACAAGGCTGCATGTTTCCAAATGTGTAAACAAGCAGCCTTGGGCACATGGGAGGGTAGTGCGTTTCCTTTCCTGGTTTACATTCGCTCTTTTGCAGGTTTTACTATATCATTTCATCCATCCTAGCCACATTTCCTCATCTGCTTGCATGTGCCTCCACTATATCAAGGTGTTTTGGTACTTCCCACATACACTATGCTTTTCCACAAGCTAACTTTTACTATACTACTATAATTATTATTAGCCAGTCTAACTGTCTATCCTGCCCTCTATCCACCATTCATAGTGACAATAGTGGTAGGTGGATCTTTTGTACAGATCTGCAATAGGCTAACTAGCAACCATACCACACATAAAACCATTCAAAGCTGCATACATTTTCAACATGAATCCACAAGAGCAAATAGGAATAGCTGATAGGCAGCGGAGAGGCCAGGTGCATCATTGCTCATGAAAGAACAGTGAGACATGAGACATGCAGCTCAAAAAGCTCCCCTATGGATCTTGTTTAGGGACAATTATCCTACCTAGACTAACCTACAACACCACAATTAATAATTGCATTATTGTGTTCAAGTACGCACAAAATTCTACTTTTACTTCTGATACTGAGATGCGCTGTCTGTCATCATGGATGGAAATACAACTCTGATGGGAAAATGTACATATTGTTTTTATACAGATTTTAGAAATATTCGCATGAAAATCTGTCGCCAATTGGATGGAAACGTATTTATACACACCCTAAAGACTCTGGCTAGTGCTCTAGTCCAGTGTCACTTTGATTATGCCTGCACATCATGGTTCACCAACAGCCACAAACATCTAAAGAATAAGTTACGGACCTGCCAAAACAAGCTTGTAAGAATTGTACTTAAACTCCCTGCTCATACACATCTGGAGGTCGAGCATTTTAAGCAGCTAGGCTGGCTATCTGGAAAAAAAGAGTAGTATTAATTCAACTTGGTCTGGTCGACAGAATTATCACGAACTCAGCCCCTAGGTATCTGCTTTTCCTTCACTCTGCGGTCCGACTCATCCCAAACCATCTCAATTTGGTTGAGGTCGGGGGATTGTGGAGGCCAGGTCATTTGATGCAGCACTCCATCACTCTCCTTCTTGGTAAAATAGCCCTTACACAGCCTGGAGGTATGTTGGGTCATTGTCCTGTTGAAAAGCAAATGTAAGTCCCACTAAGCCCAAACCAGATGGATGGCATATCGCTGCAGAATGCTGTGGTAGCCATGCTGGTTAAGTGTGCCTTGAATTCTAAATAAATCACAGACAGTGTCACCAGCACTTCATGTCTTAAAGTAATGATGGACTGTCGTTTCTTTTTGCTTATTTGAGCTGTTCTTGCCATAATATGGACTTGGTCTTTTACTAAATAGGGCTATCTTCTGTATACCCCCCAACCTTGTAACAACACAACTGATTGGCTCAAACGCATTAAGAAGGAAAGAAATTCCACAAATTACATTTTAAGAAGGCACACCTTTTTATTTATTTTATTTCACCTTTATTTAACCAGGTAAACCAGTTGAGAACAAGTTCTCATTTACAACTGCGACCTGGCCAAGATAAAGCAAAGCAGTGCGATAAAAACAACAACACAGAGTTACATATGGGGTAAAACAAAACAAAGTCAAAAATACAACAGAAATACATATATATATACAGTGTGTGCAAATGTAGCAAGTTATTGAGGTAAGGCAATAAATAGGCTATAGTGCAAAATAATTACAATTTGTATTAACACTGGAATGATAGATGTGCAAGAGATGTTGTGCAAATAGAGATACTGGGGTACAAATGAGCAAAATAAATAACAATATAGGGATGAGGTAGTTGGGCGGGCTAATTTCAGATGGGCTGTGTACAGGTGCAGTGATCGGTAAGGTGCTCTGACAACTGATGCTTAAAGTTAGTGAGGGAGATAAGTGTCTCCAGCTTCAGAGATTTTTGCAATTTGTTCCAGTCATTGGCAGCAGAGAACTGGAAGGAATTGCGGCCAAAGGAGGTGTTGGCTTTGGGGATGACCAGTGAGATATACCTGCTGGAGCGCAGACTACGGGTGGGTGTTGCTATGGTGACCAATGAGCTAAGATACGGTGGGGATTTGCCTAGCAGTGATTTATAGATGGCCTGGAGCCAGTGGGTTTGGCGACGAATATGTAGTGAGGACCAGCCAACAAGAGCGTACAGGTCACAGTGGTGGGTATTATATGGGGCTTTGGAGACAAAACAGATGGCACTGTGATAGACTACATCCAATTTGCTGAGTAGAGTGTTGGAGGCTATTTTGTAAATGACATCGCCGAAGTCAAGGATCGGTAGGATAGTCAGTTTTACGAGGGCATGTTTGGCAGCATGAGTGAAGGAGGCTTTGTTGCGAAATAGGAAACCGATTCTAGATTTAACTTTGGATTGGAGATTCTTAATGTGAGTCTGGAAGGAGAGTTTATAGTCTAACCAGACACCTAGATATTTGTAGTTGTCCACATACTCTAGGTCAGACCCGTCGAGAGTAGTGATTCTAGTCGGGTGGGCGGGTACAAGCAGCGTTCGGTTGAAGAGCATGCATTTAGTTTTACTAGTGTTTAAGAGCAGTTGGAGGCTACTGAAGGAGTGTTGTATGGCATTGAAGCTCGTTTGGAGGTTTGTTAACACAGTGTCCAATGAAGGGCCAGATGTATACAAAATGGTGTCGTCTGCGTAGAGGTGGATCTGAGAGTCACCAGCAGCAAGAGCGACGTCATTGATATACACAGAGAAAAGAGTCGGCCCAAGAATTGAACCCTGTGGCACCCCCATAGAGACTGCCATAGGTCTAGACAACAGGCCCAGACAACAGGCCCTCCGATTTGACACATTGAACTCTATCTGAGAGGTAGTTGGTGAACCAGGCGAGGCAGTCATTTGAGAAACCAAGGCTATTTAGTCTGCCAATAAGAATGCGGTGGTTGACAGAGTCGAAAGCCTTGGCCAGGTCAATGAAAACGGCTGCACAGTACTGTCTATTATCGATCGCGGTTATAATATCGTTTAGGACCTTGAGCGTGGCTGAAGTGCACCCATGACCAGCTCGGAAACCGGATTGCATAGCGGAGAAGGTACGGTGGGATTCGAAATGGTCGGTGATCTGTTTGTTGACTTGGCTTTCAAAAACTTTTGAAAGGCAGGGCAGGATGGATATGGGTCTGTAACAGTTTGGATCTAGAGTGTCACCCCCTTTGAAGAGGGGGATGACTGCGGCAGCTTTCCAATCTCTGGGGATCTCAGACGTTACGAAAGAGAGGTTGAACAGGCTAGTAATAGGGGTTGCAACAATTTCGGCGGCTAGTTTTAGAAAGAAAGGGTCCAGATTGTCGAGCCCAGATGATTTGTAGGGGTCCAGATTTTGCAGCTCTTTCAGAACATCAGCTGTCTGGATTTGTGTGAAGGAGAAGCGGGGGGGGCATGGGCAAGTTGCAGCGGAGGGTGCAGAGCTGGTGGCCAGGGTAGTGGTAGCCAGGTGGAAAGCATGGCCAGCCGTAGCAAAATGCTTGTTGAAATTCTCGATTATTGTAGATTTATCGGTGGTGATACTGTTTCCTAGCCTCAGTGCAGTGGGCAGCTGGGAGGAAGTGCTCTTATTTTCCATGGACTTTACAGTGTCCCAAAACTTTTTGGAGTTAGTGCTACAGGATGCAAATTTCTGTTTGAAAAAGTTAGCCTTTGCTTTCCTAACTGCTTGTGTATATTGGTTCCTAACTTCCCTGAAAAGTTGCATATCGCGGGGGCTATTTGATGCTAATGCAGTACGCCACAGGATGTTTTTGTGCTGGTCAAGGGCAGTCAAGTCTGAGGAGAACCAGGGGCTATATCTGTTCTTAGTTCTGTATTTTTTGAATGGGGCATGCTTATTTAAGATTGAGAGGAAATTACTTTTAAAGAACAACCAGGCATCCTCTACTGACGGAATGAGAT